GTGAGTCCCGTCCTACCTACGAAAAAAAAGTAGAGTTATAGATAATAAGACTAGCAAGCTTTCAGGAGACATTTCTATTGCTGTCTACCTATACCGTGTATTTTCTCACTGATAGAGAGACAGCATGCATAGTAAAGTTTCATGCGACGTTCCTTGCTCAGAGTTGAGCTTTATCGAGACTCGATGAAATCCTCCTCTGCAAACCCTCTCATTACTATACATGTTGGCACCACTTCGACAATTAAACTATACTCTCTTTCTCAGTTCACATCTTCAGCTTTACCTTTATTCGCCAATACTCGAGAAAGTTTCCATATCGCCCTAATATCGTTTTTATTTTTTACCATCACATACACTACAGGATAAGGAGAAGCAGCGATAGACGCAAAAGACAACTGCAGAGTTTCGGGAAGTACAGCGAGCTGGCACACAGGACAGGAGGACAGCTCATCGAGACGACATTCATGGAGGTGGGAGAGACAGCGAGGATCCTGGAGGCCGAGCAGTATCCTATGGTGAGTGATGATAGTGAGGGAGCACCTGATACAAGGGCAAGGCTACCTGATAGTAGGGACTACTACAGCTTCTTAAAGACGTGTGAGTAAATTGCCTTACCCTAGCAACTTTATCTAGTAGGAGCTTTTGCGTCTTATTGAAGTTATATGATCAGGTTTCCCTATACCTGCTGCTTTTGTTCATCTAGCAGCCAATAAGTACCAGAGGATGGTAAAATGTTTGCCGTTGGGCATCTTAATAAGACTAAGGTTTTCTGTTCACGACACAGACATACCATATTCTTTTCTGTTACTAAATATATCATAGCTAAATGATAGGGCAAAACCGAAAATATTTTGGTTTAATTTTCAGGCTGGACGAGACTTGTAAGAACATAAAGAAGAAACACTGTAGCAGGCCTGCTGGCCTATGCGAGGCAGCTCCAATTCTCCCACCGGCTTAAGCCAATGCCTTGACCTAGTGAGGTCAGACACTTAAGGGAGGACACTGCGTCCGACCCAGTAGCACAAGCTAGTCAGGTCCAACTCACACTCACCCACACCCATTCATGTATTTATCCAACCTATTTTTAAAACTACACAACGTCTTAACGCCTATGACGGTAGTCGGGAGTTTGTTCCACTCATCCACAACTCTATTACCAAACCAGTGCTTTCTTATATCCTTCCTGAATCTGAATTTTTCCAATTTAAAGCCATTGCTGCGAGCCCTGTCTGTTAGATATTTTTAGCATGCTATTTACATCCCATTTATTAATTCCTATTTTCCATTTATACACCTTAGTCATATCCCCACTAATTCTACGCCTTTCTAGAGAGTGCAGACTCAGGGCCCTCAGTCTATCCTCATAGGGAGAATTCTGATACATGGGATCAACTTTGTCATACTCCTTTGTACGTTTTCCAGTGCATTTATATCAATTCTGTAATACAGTGACCAAAACTGCGCAGCATAATCTAAATGAGGCCAACCAAAGATATATGGAGTTGAACAACCTGAGGACTTCTATTATTTATACTTCTTGCTATGAAGCCAAGGATTCTGTTAGCTTTATTGTGAACACTAATGCACTGTTGCCTTGGTTTTAGATTACTACTAACCAAAACTCCTAAATCCTTTTCGCAATCCGTAATATTAAGAACTACATTATTTAGTTTATATGTGGCATGTTTATTTTCCTGTCCAACATTTAGAACTTTGCATTTGTCTATATTAAGCTGCATCTGCCACTTCTCCGACCACTGCATGAGTCTATTCAAATCATCCTGGAGTGCTCTAATGTCCTCACTGGAATGAATCGGACGGCCTATTTTGGTGTCATCAGCAAATTTGCTTATGTCGCTATTTATTCCCTCATCTATGTCATTTATGTAGATTGTGAACAACAAGGGGCCCAACACTGACCCATGTGGAACACCACTTGTGACGTGCCCCCATTCTGATTTCTCTCCATTTATGCAAACTCTCTGCTGCCTATTCGTCACCCGTGCCTCAACCCAGGTAAAAAAGTTCTCTTATTCCGTCTGCTTTAAGTTTCCTCAGTAGCCTCTGATGTGGAACTCTATCGAAAGCCTTACTGAAGTCCATATACACAATATCATATTCAATACCATGATCTACCTCCTCAAATACCTTAGTGAAGAAAGTTAGTAAATTCGTAAGACAGGAACGCCCCTTTGTAAAACCGTGCTGAGGACCTGTCACCTGCCTTGTAAATAGGTGTTACATTTGTCATTTTCCACTTGTCAGGCACTATTGCCAGTTTGTAGTGATACGTTGAAAAGATTAGCCAAAGGTTTGCTAAGTTCCTCCTTTCATTCCTTTAACACCCTTGCAAACAGTTCATCAGGGCCTGGGGATTTGTTAGGTTTTAATTTCTTTATTTTTCTGAGGACCATGTCACTAGTTACCGCAATCGTGCATAGTTTATTATCGCCCTGTTCTACATAATATATTATTTCTGGAATTTCGCTAGTATCTTCCTGAGTAAACACTGAGAGGAAGTAAGAATTAAAAATTTCACACATATCCTTATCAGTGTCAGTGATCTGACTTGAGTTACTCTTAAGTGGGCTTATCTTGTCCCTAATCTTACTACTGTATACCTGAAAGAACCCTTTTGGGTTAGTCTTCGAATCCTTTGCGACCTTAGCCTCATAATCCCTTTTTGCTTTTCTTATTCCTTTTTTTATTTCTCTCTTTAATTGAATATTTTGATTTCTTAACTGCCCCTCCCCTCTTTTCATACGCCTATATATGCCTCTCTTTTGACCAATGAGATGTTTTAATCTAGCCCTGCCCGCACCTGTATGTGGGATCATTTTTTGTTAGATCTAATTTCCCTACTCGGAACAAAAGTTGTCTGGACAGCTAGAACTATGCTCTGAAAAACGTCATATTGGCAACCAAGATCACCTACCTGACCCATAGTCATTAGACCCTAATTTAGCCCACCCAGGTAATTTTTCAGTCCCATGAAATCGGCCAAGCGAAAGTCTTGGACAGAGATTTGATTGCAGTTATCTGGGTAAATCCATGATATATTGAAACTAAGTGATTTGTGATCACTTTCCCCAAGCTCACCATTAACCTCAAGATTATTAACTAGTGATTCTTTGTTGGCAAGAACCAAGTCAAGTAGATTGTTACCTCTAGTTGGTTCTGTCACAAACTGTTTTAAAAAGCAATCCTGAACCGTATCAAGAAAGTCACTAGAATCAAGATTTCCTGTCAAATTGTTCCAATCAATTTGTCTGAAGTTAAAATCTCCCATTAACACAACATTTTCATATCTAGACACCTTACTACCACCACCACCACCACCACACCCCATCCCTGTTCATAAAGTAGTAAATAATAGGCACCTGGGTATTAGTCAACTGTTGAGAGCAGAATCTTTGAGGGAGTTAACGAAATACTCTAATTAAGGCAGAGCTTAGAAATGAGCTGAGGTATGATTACATCTCATAGCCTGTACATTCAACAGTGTAAACAAAGATTAACTGTATTCGAAGAAATAGTGAAAACACATAAGAACTATTTGAACTGTTTTGCAGGCGGTGTTGAGGCGGGTGTCTGATGTTACGTCACCGCAGACAGTGAAGATGCCTGTGGACTCTTTGGTCACTGTGCTGGAGGTCTCCATCTCCGGCGGTGCGGTTTCTGCTGTTCTACTTTCGCCGTCGGGTGAGTTTATTCACTCATGAAAGAGTTAGATAAACTCGAATAGTAATGAGTATAAAATAGCCGGATGAAATAGGAATACGGAGGGTAAGCGTGAAATTTTAAGTCTTTTTATTCTTTTCCTGTTCATGCACAACCTTAAAACAACAAACATTGCAGTGCGAGTTCGCGGCTCCCGTCTGCGAGTTCACGGGTTCGATTCTCAGGAGGAGGATCGAGTTTCCATTGTCTCACACAGTTTCAGAGTGATCAAATCTGTGATTACCTTGTCTCTCTCTCCCTCAGGGGCCAGGTTTGACTTGGTAGCTGATGCCAGCTCTTTGAGCGATGATGATTACACGGTGGTGGTCGCAACACACTACCATATACAGGTGCGTCAACATTTGGGCTATGAGATTATTATTATTGCGTTATTATTATTATTAATATCGAAGTCACTAGGGAATTTTTTTTTAAGGATTGTTAGGCTAGGGGAAGGATTCAACTTCAGTAACAGACAGTACTCTACCCATGGCAAGGGGTCTTGAAATTGACCGGACATAACTGTGTCATACGTTATCTTAACAATTGCCTTGGTGATGGTCTCACCACGGGGCCGAGTACTGTTCGTTCCCTGAAAAGATTCAAGTCTTACCCGAAGAATACCTGAAGGATGCTTCCTTGGTCTGGTCCCAAACCATGTTTCCCGGTTTATCATGGCCTGATTAACCAGGCTGTTGGAATACTTCGATGTATATCTTCAAAATTCGGATATAATATTCTTTAATTGGGACTCTAGTGAAATGACGAACGTTAAGGTTGACCTCCTTAGGTCGTGACAGAAATTAAAAAAATAAATCTTATTGCCAAGATTTCGCAAAACGTCTTATTTACGGTATCAAACCTCAAATCATGTTACAGAGGACACAATGGGAACCTATTTTGTTGTACCTCATCACTATCCAGTGTGTCACATTCTAAACCAGCGCTGCACTGTGATAATTAAGACACATGAGAAACAATATTTTGCACTGTTATTATATTCACTACGATAAGACAGATGTGCAACAGTATTGTACACTGTTATCATACTACTCCACGATAATATGTAAGACACATGTGTATCAGTATTGTACACTGTTATCATACTACTCCACGATAATATGTAAGACACATGTGTATCAGTATTGTACACTGTTATCATACTACTCCACGATAATATGTAAGACACATGTGTATCAGTATTGTACACTATTATCATACTACTCCACGATAATATGTAAGACACATGTGTATCAGTATTGTACACTGTTATCATACTACTCCACGATAATACGTAAGACACATGTGTATCAGTATTGTACACTGTTATCATACTACTCCACGATAATACGTAAGACACATGTGTATCAGTATTGTACACTATTATCATACTACTCCACGATAATACGTAAGACACATGTGTATCAGTATCGTACACTGTTATCATACTCACTACACGATGATACTGATGGAGCTCATCCAAGGATATGAGACTAAATTCTGCCTTATTTTTACGTCGCTAAAGCGAATGACTTAATTTACTTGGACAATTATTATATACATTTGCTGGTAGAGAATCCTAAGGAAGCCAAGGTTTGCCTGTAGTCTTATTCCAGGGACATCAGTCACTCACGGAAACGTCTATTTCTCACACATAATTTTAAACAAACTTGTCGACTTACGTTATTTAGGCCAATGTTAGGCTAAGTTAGGTTTGGTTAGATTAAAGTGAATTCTTTAAGTAAAATCTAGCCAATTATAACATACATCAAAGCCAATAAATAAAATTATACTTGAAGTCAATAAAAGCATCTGAAGTGTGAAAAAGGGAGGGGGGGGGGGGAAGTTAAAATTACAGCCAACAGTTACTTGTTCATTCGCGTAACTATCACATTCTAAGGTCTTAGTCAAAGCGAGGTAATGACGTTGATTTGGAGAATCTGATGTTCAAGGATACATAGTTTTTCCAACTCTCCTTCCTCCTCCTCCTCCTCCTCCTCTCTTCTTTTCCTCCCTCCTCCTCTTTTCCTCCCTCCTCCTCTTTTCCTTCCTCCTCCTCTTTTCCTTCCTCCTCCTCTTTTCCTTCCTCCTCCTCTTTTTCCTCCCTCCTCCTCTTTTTCCTCCTCCTCCTCTTTTTCCTCCCTCCTCCTCCCTTTTCCTCCCTCCTCCTCCTCTTTTCCTCCCTCATCCTCCTCTTTTCCTCCCTCCTCCTCCTCTTTTTCCTCCCTCCTCCTCCTCTTTTCCTCCCTCCTCCTCCTCTTTTTCCTCCCTCCTCCTCTTTTCCTCCCTCATCCTCCTCTTTTCCTCCCTCATCCTCCTCTTTTTCCTCCCTCCTCCTCCTCTTTTCCTCCCTCATCCTCCTCTTTTCCTCCTCCTCCCCCTCTTTTCCTCCCTCCTCCTCCTCTTTTCCTCCCTCCTCCTCCTCTTTCCTCCCTCCTCTTTTTCCTCCCTCATCCTCCTCTTTTCCTCCCTCATCCTCCTCTTTTCCTCCCTCATCCTCCTCTTTTCCTCCCTCCTCCTCCTCTTTTCTCCCTCTTCCTCCTCTTTTCTCCCTCTTCCTCCCTCATCCTCCTCTTTTCCTCCTCCTCCTCCTCCTCTTTTCCTCCCTCCTCTTTTCCTACCTCCTCCTCTTTTCCTCCCTCCTCCTCTTTTCCTCCCTCCTCCTCCTCTTCTTCTACCTCCTCCTCCCTCTTTTTTCCTCCCGAACAATTAGCCACAGGAACACTTGGTCTTCACTTCGTCTTCGGTAAGACTACATGTTACTCCGTCACTCTGACATGTAGATATATTAAAGAGCCGAAATCTTACACCAGCTATATTTCAAAACTCGTTTAATTTATGAATATATTATTAAACATGTAAGATTCAAGCAAGGAAGAAAAAAACATCATCAACACTATAAACTAATTTTTAGATAGTTATTGAAGTTTCTAATGTGAGGAATTAATGAGAATTTAGTTTCTTGCTAAATGCTGAAGACGAGTCAGAGAGAGACGTCTCATGCCAGATATCAAACTGACCCTTTGACCCTTTGACCCTTTTACCCTTTGACCCTTTGAAGAACTGGAGGGCAAAGGAGGGGCTTGATGCTGGCGAAGGGCGAACGACACCTGATTGGCTGTTGTGACTCACTGTGGGTTTAACGCTTCTTCAGCAATGTTTATTATGAACACGGTGTCGTTTCCATATCCGTTATTTATTCAGTTTTGTGAATAATTGTATTATTATCGCCAATGAATGCGTGTAAGAAATTTGTGTTTAATGCAACCTTTGTAAAATATCACATTGCAATGACATCTCTGAAGTATACCTGCAAAAGCGAACTTGTTACTCTTGTTCGGGCAAATTGTAGCCTCTGTTTCCTCCTACTGTAGTCCCTACTACACATATCGGCTTACAAAGATTACCCGGTGTTTCTGACCTACTCTTGCAGGTCCGAATAAACATGGCTCAACGACGCAAAGATGTCGGAGAATGGACTTTGAAATTTGAGCCCATTAATGTGAGCTCGGCGGTGGTGTACGCCCGCACCTCCCTGGACATAATGCCTGTCTTCTACACCCCGGACGCCGCCTCCAGCCAGCCGTCCATGCAGCGGGTCCAGGGCGAACCCAGCCCAAGTTAGTACTGAAAATAGGGATCCACCCCACTTGAAGGATTCTTTTATATTACATCCCACTTTTGTATACCTCTGAATATCCTATTTAGTTTGATTTCATCGATGCTACAGGTTTATATCACTAAAATATCTCCAGATTTCTAATTTGCATTCGACATACTTTTTTTACTTTTGTGTGTCTGTTATACAGGTTTGATTGTATCCTCATTTCCTTCAAATTAATGTCCTCACATTTTTTAGTAACACAAGTAATGTAGACGATCTCTTTCTTTTACACAGTAGTGTGGACCAATTTAAAAATTGAATCGGAAGTCTGCCTGTGTGCATTTCAATTTGTTTGGTAGTCATCTTCAATAAATTAATGGCATAGTGTTGATAATAATAAGCACAATGATAATAATAATTAATGGTATAGTGTTGATAATTAATAATAAGCACAATGCACACTGTCGTCCAATCTCTTGAAATATTTTTTTTTATCGTTTTACTTCCATAAAAATGTGTAATATTGAAACTAATAAGTGAAGAATATCTGAAGTAACAGAAAAAACTCACCTGAGAAAACTTTAGACAATATTTCTGTCCGTCCTGGAGGACTACTACTACTACTACTACTACTACTACTACTACTACTACCACTACTACTACTGCTACTATTACTGCTACTACTACTACTACTGCTACTGCTACTACTGCTACTACTGCTACTACTGCTACTACTACTACTACTACTACTGCTACTGCTACTACTACTACTACTACTACTACTACTACTACTACTACTACTATCTACCTCTTCTATACTACTACACTACACTGCTGCTGCTACTACTACTACTACTACTACTGCTGCTACACTACTATACTACTACTACTACTACTACTGCTACTCTGCTACTAACTACACTACTACTGCTACTGTACTACTGCTATAACTACTACTACTCTACACTACTCCTGCTACTACTACTTACTACTACTACTATCTGCTACTGCTACTACTGCTACTACTAGCTACTACTACTACTACTACTACTACTACTACTGCTGCTGCTGCTACTACTACTACTACTACTACTACTACTACTACTACTACTACTAGCTGCTGCTACTACTACTACTACTACTACTACTACTACTGCTACTGCTACTACTACTACTACTACTACTGTTTCCACTTCTATTCTTTTATGCTAGTAACCTTATTTTCGTGGTTAACTACTTGATTCATAGGTATGTCCGATAGCTTTTTTATATATATGTGATAATTTTTTTTTTATGGTGAGTCCTGTCACAACTACCAACATGCTACAGACATGGACACGTACCTGGATATAATCATGACTGGAGTGGACACGGCGGGGCTGAAGCATGTCCAGAGTGTCCTCCTATTGGATGATTCGGGTCAGGAGTTGGTTTTGGACCTGCCCAGTAACTCCCCTCGGCGCAACACTTACCTGAGCCTCCCTTCCCAACGTCTGCCCAAGGGAAGGTTCACGGTGGTCGTCAGTGGAGAGGACAGTACAGGTTAGTTACATAGTCCGGCTATATTTCTCTCTCTCTCTCTCTCTCTCTCTCTCTCTCTCTCTCTCTCTCTCTTCTCTCTCTCTCTCTCTCTCTCTCTCTCTCTCTCTCTCTTTCTTTCTCTCTCTGCCTCTCCTTTATCATTCTTTCTCACGTTTTTTCTCTACAGCTAATGAATCTAGAGGAGTTAGTCTAAGGAAGAGCTCATGTCCGACCTCAGCAAATATCATAGTCTGACATTATAAATAACCACCTTGTATATTAAACAAGATGCGCCTTTAGGGTTGCGAACAGTATGATCGAACTCCAGATCAGAGCCAAATAAAAAAAGGCCTTAAAACATGTACGTTAACGCTACTTAATATATTTCCACGTTCATTTTATAGTTTTATTATTTTTTTTACAAATTCATTTTTTATTTTACAAAATTTTGTTTATCTACTGGGCTGAATTAGAATCTCAGGTCATTGCTGAAAAGCTGAATATTATTGGAGGGCGTAACGTCGGCAGGTGTGTGGACACACGTATTCCTCAGTGCCTGATTGAAGTCTCCCAGGTCAGGCTCTCATATATCAACACTTTCTACGAGTTTGTTCTGCGTGATGGAATACTACAGGAAAAACAGCTTTTCTGTTCACTGCTGTGTAACGATTATATACAATAGGTAGCAGCACACTTGCTTATATATCCAATTTTGCTAAATGAAAAAAGTATTCAGAAAAAAGGCTTTGTGGACAACTTTTCGTTCTAAGCAAACTGGATAAAGCTCTACTTAGGCTTGTTCTGTATAATTATATCTTCTCCATGTGGTCGACACGTCATGGTCTGTATTTGCTCAATTATCCGTCTCCCTGTCCCAGGAGTGGTGTTCCGTCGTGAGGGTGGAAGAGTGTGGGAGACTGTCAAATCCAGCCTAACTTTTTCCCTGGGTCGTGATATCTGGGGTCCTCCTGGCTCAGTGCTCACTATCCCTGTCTCCATCACTAATACCGACACCAGCACCGCTACAGCCAAAACCTACTTTATCACAGCGTACGACGCACTTGGCTCCGTGGTCAGCGTCGACCATACACGGTGAGTACCCAAAGTCAAGAGTATAAAAGACAGCGAGCAGCACGCCCATAGACGATGTTTCTCTCAGAACTGAGCTTTATCCTGAGCGAAATGTCCTCTAAAATAAAATCTTGCTCTCTGTTATATGTCTATATACCCACTTGTTATCCCAGTCATCTGTCTTTTACAACCAATGTTTGTGCATTATTTTATCCACTTTGTATTTTATTTCGTAGTTGTAGATAAATGGTTCAGAGAACCAAATTAATAAATTAGACACATGTGGAACACTTGGGTATCTTTATTGTGGAAACTTATCGCCACACAGTGGCTTCATCAGTCCAGTACACAGAAGAATGGTGAAGATCAGAAGGAGTTTGAGGTAATAAGTCCTTCACCCTGGAGTCGATGTAATCAGTCCATCAGTCTTAATAAGAATGATGAACTGGTGGACGACTTGGGGCCAACGCAACGGCCTGGCTCTCCCACCGACAGCAACCTACACGCTCGACTTCTGAACCAAGCGGCCGTGTACCCTCCACCTGCTCACGGCCTCCTAGGTTAAGTTTCAGAATGGCGTAGCGCTGGAACTGTATATGGTGGTAATTTCCTCAGCCATACCCTTCCTGGGCATGGATGTTATGGGTTGGGACAGGTGCTACATGGTGAATTAGACACATGTGCAACAACTGGGTATTTTTATTCTGTAGATGTTTTGCCAACCAGTGGCTTTATGAACACGATACAGAAGACTGAAGAAGTACAAGATGAGATAACCAGTACCTCAGCCTAGGGAAAGGTGTTCAGTACCATAGTCTTAATGACCTACTTCCACTGAGGAATCCCACCTACCTGTGATAATACTTTCGTCACATCTGACTAATACATAAGCCCACGTCTTGCTGCCTGTGCTTCAGATTCATTAAGACAACGGTTCTGAACACCTGCTCCTAGGCTGGGGACTGATTACCTCGTCTTCTGTATTGTATTGATAAATTCACTGGTTGGCGAAACGTCTAAGGAATAAAGATTCCCAAATGTTTCACATGTGTCTAATTCATCATCTTGTCGGTATTATATGCCATTGATATACACAGCAACTATGACCTTCAGCAAACAGTACCAGAGCTAGAACCTGCAATCCCTGCCAAACCCATTTGCGTCAATTATCACATCCAGGGGCAGAGCACGGGACGTTTTGTGTCGGGGCTTATGGTCGCTGATGCTTCCAGAAGCTTGGTCTCCCTCAGGATGGCGGAGGAGATCCATCTCGTAGAACAGAAGGTGAAGTACAACGCCAAGCACGACACCATCACTGTTGCCATTACCATCCTGTGCTATCCGCCGCCGCCACCATCACTCTCCCTAGTCATGTTCTCAGAATCCGCTTTTGTCAGGGAAATCCAGTACCAGAGTACGTTGGCCTGGATGCTCTCATAGCTCTGCAGCTCAAATTAGACGTATCAGGCAGTGCTGGGCGGTGAGAAAGGCGGCGTGGAAAAATGTCAGAGGGAGTTGTTTTCCTTCCTAACTGTTGGGTAGATAGGGCCGAGATTAGCAGACCGAGAATCAAGTTTCCGCCATCATTTGCACTGAATGACCCACACGGGCTTACCACGTGACATACGAGGAGGTAATATAATATGACATGCTACACCTTCCCAGGATGCAATCCATCGAAGATGAATGACACCTAGGTACCTTCTCTCGCTGTAATGTGTACAGGGGCAACAAGTATATGTACTTCCCCACGTCTGCCTGCTGGGAAATCAAGTTCCTTTTTCGGCTATGAGCAGAATGCTCTACAATGAGCTATGCAGTAAATGCTCACTGTAACCAATTTGTGTGCTTTACGCAGCAAACGATATTACTAACGGTGATTCATATAGACAGTTTGACTCTATCGAGATTGTTACCATTACTAATTATTATTATTAATATAACTCGTAAGAAAGATCAATAAATACTCTCTTAGGGTGAAACTAATGTTGCTTTATTCTGGTCTTTTATTAGGTTACAGCTGGGCAGGAACGAGACAACAGTTGTGAGTGTGAGGCTGGAGATAAACTCTCAGGTATCACCGCACACCACCAACTCTCTGCTGGTGACCGCCACCTCCACCCAGGGTGACACCTCCCATACACACGCTCACGTCTCCGTCACCTCCCTAGTGAGTGTAAACATTGTGTAGTAGTAGTAATAGTAATAGTTGTCAAAGGCACTTGTCGATAGACACTTGGTCGTCGTCTCCTCCTCCTCCTCTGTTTTTTTTGGTGTGTGTGTGTGTGTGTGTGTGTGTGTGTGTGTGTGTGTGTGTGTGTGTTTTATCATACGGAATGTTGATAATGAGAATTCCGCACATTATCATTACTATACAGTGTAGTAGAGGCTCGATACAGCAAAGGAGACAGTTACCTAACTGTCCTCACATAACGACAGATATTACACACTCTTGTAATCGTAACAGCTTTTGAATATAATAATAATAATATCAACTTGTGTAAAAAGGGAATCGTGTAAACTTAATTATTATATTCATATAGAAGCCCTAAACCCGTAAGGGTCATACAGCGCCTTGGGGATATGAAGTAACCAGGCTTGATCCAGTTGACTGGATCCGGAACCCTTCGCTAGTATCAACGTATTTCCATTCAAGGACACACAGCATACAGCGCCTGGACCCACACACACTTGTCACTGGAAAAGCAACATCTGTCGTGAAGTAACACTTCCTATCGCCACTGTACTGGCTTATCATTTATCCATTACGAGGCTCAGTGTCTTAACTCGTAAATGTCTCGTTGCGGTCTTTTCTACGTGTATGTTATATTTTGTAGCCATAGTGGTCAAGCAGGCTAATTCATAAATTTTAGTTGCTTTAGATTGATGTGCAGGAGGGCCCCGCTTATGCAGCAAGTTGGGCTCCGAGCTATTGCTGTAAAGCAAAAATTGCTGTAAAGTGAGACAGCCTTTTTTCACTCTCAAATGTATATAAAAGCCTGATAAAATGTTTATGCCATCTTATATTAAGTGAGCAATAGAGCTAAGGCTAAAAATGCATATACAGTACACATTGCTTTTCTTAGAATATTTTCGTCCTTATAATGAATAGCTAATATATTTATTGTAGGAAGCCTGAATATATGAACAATGGGAATAATTTAAAAACCTCTATATCAACAAAACGCTGTAAAGCGGGGCCTATTTGTACTCCAGGGAATTAACATGTGACTTGTAATATATATAATTTTGGCACCATAATTAATCGATCACGATAACCGAACCTTTGTTAAATTTCTGTAATATAGCTCAGTCCAACTATCATCTTCAGGTCTGCCTAAATTTAATTAACAGAGCAAACACAGGTGTATCAGACACTGACCAGTGCCACACACGCTTCCACACAGGGACAATGAAATAATTCGGATTATAATTATTTTATTTATGGAGAAGCGCTAGGTCCGTAAGGGTCATGCAGCCCCTGGCTAGCGAGAGACCATCAAATTCCATCCATGAACTAAGTAGCTACTTTTCCGTGGATCTAGAGCCCTTCACCAACATCAAGACCACCCCGTCTCCCCCCTAAGGAACCAAAATTATTTTCTAGCTTTCTATCATTGTTGAAGAGGGCCTCAGTATGAGACCGAAATATGCACTATGAATTTTAATTGTTATTTTGTTGTATCTCCATGGATTCGTTTGCGTTTTAGTAGCATTTCAGATCAGTTTAATATTAATTTCATTATGGTCGAGCTAATAGTCGCGGAATTATTAGATAAATATACATATGAGTTGCCTGAAAAAAATAACTCATGGCTTTACAGGCTAAGTTTGCAAGTTCTGGCTTAAAAAAAGGCATAAATTATAATCATTTCTATTTTTGTCTCTCAGCTTGAAGACGGAGTCCCGCCCGGGTGCAACTTGGTCAGCAAGTCGAGTTGTGATGGTCACCTCACCCAGAGCACATGCTCTAGTCTACAGTGGAATGCTGGGATATATATCCACGATGACATAGGTAAGTTATTCCAGAATGACACAGGTAACCTATTCCATGTCGTTACATGGTAACTTATTTCATGTTGTCACAGGTAACTTATTCTTTGTTAACATAGGTAAATTATTCCCGAATAACACGGGTAACTTATCCCATGTTGACACAGGCAACTTATTACAGAATGACACCGGTAACTTATTCTAAGCGGACACAAATAATAGATTTCATTATGGAACAGGTAACTTTTTTTCTCGCATGATGACACGGGCAACTAATTCTAGAAGGACAATGGTAACTTATGTTTGCTAATGGAATGCAAATCAAAGTTAACATTGTTGTTAATTAACAGTAGCAGTGAAGATACTAGTTTAATGTTAGAAGTCACACAAAGCTGTGAAGTTAGTATTTAAAATCACCAAAAGCTGTCAAGTTAGTGTTAAAGGTCACTCAAAGCTGTACAGCTTTGAATCTCAAGTTTAAACTTAAGGAACAATATTTTCTTCATCGAAATATTAACTATACATTCGTTGGTGAAGCGCAAAACCTGTAGACGTCATACAACACCTGAAGAAATTGGAGGCAATCAGGAAAGGGGAGAATAAGTTCAACTTTGGATGAAGAGCCCTTTTCCCTTTATCCTTGAGTCACTACAATACATGTCCTTGGGTATCGTTACAAGTCTATGTACTGGGGATCATCACAGTAAGCCATGGATTTTGTTACAACAGACTATACATAGTGGTAGTTAAAGAATTGGTATAGTATGTCCAAGAAAGATTAGATACCTTGTAAATAACACAAATTAGGGACCTTGTAAATAACACAAATTAGGAACCTTGTAAATAACACAAATTAGGCACTTTGTAAATAACACAAATTAGGTACCTTGTAAATAGCATAAATTAGGTGCCTTGTAAATAATACAATTTAGGGACCTTGTAAATAACAGAAATTAGGTACTTTGTAAATGACACAAATTAGGTGCCTTGTAAATAACATAAATTAGGTGCCTTGTAAATAACAGAAATTAGGTACTTTGTAAATAGCATAAATTAGGTGCCTTATAAATAACACAAATCCTCTGCTTCAGTTGATGATTACACGGAATTTCTGAGAAGAACAAAGTATTAATTTACACATATCTAATACTGTAACAAGAACATAAGAACATAAGAACATAAGAACGAAGGAACACTGCAGAAGGCCTACTGGCCCATGCGAGGCAGGTCCAAGTCTCCTACCGGCTTAAGCCAATGCACCCAACCTAGTCAGGTCAGGTCACATTGACTTAAGGGAGGAACACGGCAACCGACCTGGTAGCTCAAGCTATCAGGTCCAACTCACACCCTCCCACATCCACTCATGTATTTATCCAACCTATTTTTAAAGCTACACAACGTTCTGGCCTCTATAACTGTAATCGGGAGTTTGTTCCACTCATCCACAACTCTATTACCAAACCAGTACTTTCCTATATCCTTCCTGAATCTGAATTTTTCCAACTTAAAACCATTGCTGCGAGTCCTGTCTAGGCTAGATATTTTCAGCACACTATTTACATCCCCTTTATTTATTCCTGTCTTCCATTTATACACCTCAATCATATCCCCTCTAATTCTACGTCTTTCTAGAGAGTGCAGATTCAGGGCCCTTAGTCTATCCTCATAGGGAAGGTTTCTGATACATGGGATCAACTTTGTCATCCTCCTTTGTACATTTTCCAGAGAATTTATATCCATTCTGTAATACGGTGACCAAAACTGTGCAGCATAATCTAAATGAGGCCTAACCAATGATGTATAGAGTTGAAGAACAACCTGAGGACTCCTATTATTTATGCTTCTTGATATGAAGCCAAGGATTCTATTAGCTTTATTGCGAACACTTATGCACTGTTGTCTTGGTTTCAGATTACTGCTAACCAGAACTCCTAAATCTTTTTCGCAATCCGTAATATTAAGATCTACATTATTTAGTTTATATGTGGCATGGTTATTGTCCTGTCCAACATTTAGAACTTTGCATTTGTCTATATTAAACTGCATCTGTCACTTCTCCGACCACTGCATCAGTCTATTCAAATCTTCCTGGAGTGCTCGAATGTCCTCGTCAGAATGAATTCGACGGCCTATTTTGGTGTCATCGGCAAACTTGCCGATGTTGCTCTTTATGCCCTCATCTATGTCGTTTATGTAGATTGTGAACAGCAAGGGGCCCAACACTGACCCCTGTGGAACACCGCTCGTGACGCTTCCCAACTCTGATTTCTCCCCATTTATCCAAACTCTCTGCTGCCTATTTGTCAACCATGCCTCTATCCAGGAAAAAATTTATCCTCCTATTCCACGTGCTTTAATTTTCCTCAATAGTCTCTGATGTGGGACCCTGTCAAAAGCCTTACTGAAGTCCATATACACAATATCATATTCATTACCATGATCTACCTCCTCAAATACCTTAGTGAAAAAAGTTAATAAATTCGTAAGGCAGGAACGCCCCTTTGTAAAACCATGCTGAGATTCGTTGATTAATTTATGCTTTTCAAGGTGGCTACGAACTGCCTCGGCAATTATTGATTCCATAAATTTTCCCACTATGGAGGTTAGGCTTATTGGGATGAAGAGCACGACCTGGAACTATCAGGCCCAGTGCTGCTATCCTCATCTCAAAGTTACAATATGCATCTTATTTTCAGATACTTTTAAATTACATAATACCACTTAAATTATTATTACGGGCTTGTATTTAATACACACTTATTATAATTACCAGGAAGTTAAAACAATCTAATTATAAAAAAAAAAAATATTCCACCACAGCACTAAGCAGAATTGAGACGGTACCTGCCAGCAACCCTCCCAGCGTTATGGGGATGAAGAGCACGACCTGGAACTATCAGGCCCAGTGCTGCTCTCCTCATCTCAAAGTTACAGTCTACGACGTCTCCGGTAACGTCGGTTTCTGCACTATTTACAACGGCGACGTTACAGACGACAATGGTAAGGGGAAAAACTGTAACTGTTGTCACAAGTGTGAAAGCGTTGTTATTCTTATTATTATAGAGAAATAACCAGCACATGGGAAAAAGAAACTTATGATGACGTTTCGGTCCGACTTGGACCATTTACAAGTCACACTGTTGTCCAAGATGGACCGAAACGTCGTCTTATGCTTCTCGCTCTTATGTGCAAGTTATTTGTGTATTGTTCCAATCACGGTATTGTGCCATTTTATTCTTTATTATTATTATTGTTATTATTTATTATTATTATTATTATTATTATTATTATTATTATTATTATTATTATTATTATTATAATTTTCATGGGAAAGCGATAAACTTGTAAAGACTAACCGGAGAAAGGAGAGAATAACTTAAATTCCTCGTATCAAAAGCCCATCACTGCCACCCAGCCCCCCCCCCCTTCCCTCTCTCCACTGGGAGAAGAAATAATACCGGCGGTTTTGTTACGCATAAAGAATATTAGTCCAGTGCAAAAAGTATTCTCCCATCTCTCATACACACTTTTTTTTTTGTAATAGTTTTGTCACTTATTATTAGTCATTATATTTGTAATATAATTTATTACTCTGTAGCTCCTACAGATCAATAAAATGAAATGTAGTCTAGGTAAGATTCCGGTACATAGTAATACAGTAATGATTTGGTCCTCATATACTCTAAGAACATAGGAAAGGAGCAACACTAGGCCCATACTAGGCCAACAGGCCTAGTATGGGCCTAGTATTAGGTTGAGGTAGTGGAACACTCAATTGCTACCAAACAACATATGAGATAGAGAACCATTATTATTATTATTATTATTATTATTATTATATTATTATTATTATTATTATTATTATTATTATTATTATTATTTTCTGTGTAATGCTAACTAGATTCGTATCAGTCATCCACAGCAATGACTTGTGGAAGCTCGATCCTCCGTCTTCTGAGCACGTGACAGACACGCTACCTGTTGGCTACTTTGGATGTTAAAGAAATTACACGTAACTGTAAATTAATTTAAAAAAAATGAGAGTACGTGAGTACGTTAACTGAAGTACGTGACAGTATTGCCACGTACTTCAGTTAATGGAGATGGGCCGAGAGATCTAAACTTATTTTGAAACTAATTTCTTTTATTTGTCACTTGCATTATGTGGAATAGGATCTTTTTCGGAAAACATTTCTGTGCCTAATAAGTAAAAATCCTATAAGAAGATAATTATTTCAATTTTTTTTCTTTCTATTTACTCATTTCCTAATAACTAGTACTCTCTCTCCACTCAGGTAACGTCAAGCTCAGTAAAGGAGCAATAGCTGGAATAACCGTAGGATCCGTCCTGGGAGGCATTCTGCTGATCATTATCATCGTCTTGGTCGTTATCCGTCTGCGCCGCAGCAAGAAGGAAGACATCACTCTCAGGAGAGCTGCCAGGAGAGATGACGAATAGGGGCGACTTAAGGAACACCCAGTGGAACAGACAGGGGCCTCACCAGCCATCAGAGGAACATCAGGAGGAACCGTGAAGTCAGGAACTCGAGATCAGCTTAATAGATCCCATAATTTTGTAGATTCTTTACCCATTGCACTCTCTGGCTTGTCAAGAAGACACTCGTGGCTGTCGGAAACCTCGACAACCACGATGTTAGAAACAGACACAGAGAGGTCTTCGGCACCGCCTCCTTCCTGGCGAGAAACTAGTTCCTCCTACAACACATTTCCTCTTCCGAGCCAGACGAGCTCCTGGACCATCACGTCATCCAGCCGGACGGAAGAATCTAGCAGAACTTCAGACCTGTCATCAGCTTCAAGAACCTCATATCTATGGGGTTTCTGGAGAGTTCAGTTTCTACGACCACCTTCAGTGTTCACAGTGAGTAAAGCAGAAATATTAGATACATTGTAAAATGAGTGTAACAAGCACCGAACAAATTTTGATTTCCAGTACAAAAAAAAAAAAAGATTTATATAAAAGAAAGCAAATTGTAGATACCAATTTAGGACATTTTGAAAATTATTACAGAATTATTTAACAACACTGGGCAGCTTATAAATATTATCACGTACGTTTTGATGCTATCTGCAATAATAATTTCTTACTGATGACTTTGTAATAAATGAAAAGAATGCATTGAACGTTATTTTGAGCTCAGCACACCAAGTGTGACCCTATGACCGTCACTGCCTGACTGTCACTGTCTGTCAGGGGGTCCTGGCCGTCACTGTCTGTCAGGGGGTCCAGGCCGTCACTGTCTGTCATCGGCTCGTGGCCATCCCTGGCAAGTGACATCGTGGTTCTGCTTACTTATTATATTGGGCGTTCCTTCGGACTAAGTCTATATATTTATACCTTGTTTCTGGATTATTATTATTATAATCAAGGGGGAAGCGCTAAACCCAGAGGATTATACAGCGCCTGGGGGGGGGATGTGGAAGGCATTCAGGCTTAATTCGGGGAACTGGAGCACGGATCCAGTTCCCTAAATCAAGAGCCTCTCACCAACATCAAGGAACCTTCCTTGAGGGGCCTTGTTGCTGGAGAGGAGCAATTGACCTATGGAAATTCGAGTTTCTTCCCATTCCTCGCATCAAACCTGATTACCTACTGTACCTTACCGGCTGTATAACCCGAACGGGTTTGACGCTTCATCATAATTACAATATTTTAATTTTTTTTTTAATGGGGAAGCACCAAGCCCACAGCGGTCGAAACAGCGCCTGGGTAATGGAAAGGAAATCAGTTTCTATGCGAGAAGCTACAGCTTCTCACCCCCTAACCTCGCAACCTTCAATAAACAGCTGTAATTTGATCTTATATCTTGGATATGATTAAGTGTACGCTCTCGAATTCAGGGTATGAAGTGTGTACGTGTGTGTGTACGTGTGTATTTACGTGTGTGTGTGTGTACGTGTGTGTGTACGTGTGAGTACGTGTGTATAATGCGATGTAATATATATTGATTTTAATTAAAACTGTATTTAGCCTAGTCTTCACTTTTAATTTTGGAATCACTTACGTAAAGTTCAATGTAAAATTATTGGCGTTTAATATTGTTATTGTGTGCTGTATAATTTGTACTCTTCGAATATCTAGATGTATATTCTTGTAAATAAAGAAAAAATCATTATATTGATTATTATAATCCTCACTTCTGCCCCAGCAGTCAGCGGTAATGGCGGTGCTCCTCGCTGTCTGGCAGTAGTTTGTGGAACTACTCTATGAGGCTTAATGGTAGTTTTGGCTCCTCAGTGTATGTGGTGGAGTAGCGGGTGCTGTCTGTGTATTGGAAGTGGCCAGTGTGCGTGTGTTGTAGTGGAGAGAATGTCCACGGTCGGTGTTGTGGTGGTGACAATGTCAGTTTAATTATTTAACTGTACAGTGGAAAATCTAGTAGTAAGCATAGAATACTAGTGATAACTTGGCCTGTGATAGGGCCCACGAAGCAAGGAGCTACTACATACAGCTAGTTTTAAGAAGTGGGGACAAGCCGAGATTCGACCCAAGTCACAAATTGGTGAGTACTGACTTTTTTTTTTTTTTTTTTTTTTTTTTTTTTTTTTTTTTTTTGCCGCTCATACTGTAAAGATGCTCTCCACATTGCTTTGGAGACTTTACTTTATATTCAAATTATGTCATATTCTTGGCTGAAATTGCTCATGATGGACATTTGAATGTTGATCAGACTAAGCATTAAAATGGGGAAGAAATGTGAGCTAAGTGACTTGACCGTGGAATGAAGTGATGGGTTCCCAGTTACACTGGACATGAAAAGTGTTAAGCCTTTTTAATTTGCTTTTGATGACAGAGTATGGCTTCCGTTTTCGCGAGGTGTAACTATAATTTGTTGTCTACTAACCATTTCCTGCAGCACTCTCTAGTTCGTGATAAAACATTATCTGTATCTTGTGGGTCTTTGCCTGAGACTAGCACAGCGCTATCGTTTGCAAACAGAAGCTTGCACTTGATACTGATGGGCATGTCATTCGCAAAACATAAAAATAATAAAGGACCCAGAATATTACCTTGGGAAATCTCACATGCTATCGGTAGGGGTTCTGATTTTGTATCACCTGTTGCCCAGGTAAGACTTAAACCAGTCTACAGAGCCTATGCCGATACCTTTATAGTTTGGTGCACCTGCACATCAGTTTTGGTCCTGGATTACTTTGAATTTCACCGCATAACAATGCCACAATTAACAATTGCACCAGGTTCTGTGGCCTGGTGGCAAAAAGCTCTCGCTTCACACGGTGATGTCCGGGTTCGATTCCCGGCGAAGGGTGAAAACATTGGACGTGGTTTCCTTACACCGGTTGTCTATGTTCCCCATCAGTAAAATGGGTACTTGGGTGTTAGTCGACTGGTGTGGGTCACATCCTAGGGCAAAACTGACCTAATTTGCCCGAAATACTTTACATAAGCGGTTTTCTATACAGTAGTATGTCACTGATGTCAGCTAGGCTTGTATACCGTGTACATGAACTTGCAGTAAATAAAGATATTATTATATTATTATTATTGTTTTGTTTGTATGGACGTGCTGTGTTGACACACGTTGCGACGACAATGACATAGTCGCTGTTGACAGGATGGTGACTGTCATTGACACTCTAGGGGGGGGCCATTACTCCAGTCACCTGTTCCTGCCACCATGACTGATCCCTTTCTGCTGTGTATTGCAGAATAAATGTAAGTACAATTATGATAACCCTCACTCTTCTCCCGCCTGCTAACTTTCAGCTTATTTTTGCTCCCTTTAACACTTATTTTCACAACAGAATTGCTTCTGTTTTCAATATACTCCGTTCACCAGTTCAACAAACAGAGGATGCATTTAAACTCTCCTGGTAATATTTAACACCTCAAGCTCCAGCAGCTGGTGATAGAGGTGTTTACCGTTAAATTTCCTGCTAAGTTAACTCTCCTCTCTCACACTCCACACTTGATCTACCTTTTTTATGGAATAAGACGATTTCCTTACCTGACAGATTAAAATTGTCTTGGTCACATTCTCCTCAAGGAAGGTTCCTTGATGCTGGTGAAGGGCTCTTGATCTAGGGAACTGGATCTGTGCTCCAGTTTCCTGAATTAAGCCTGAATGTCTTCCTTCTTCCCCCCCCCCCCCCAAGCCCTGTATGATCCTACTGGTTGAGAGCTCCCAATGATTATAATAGTCACATTGACAATTCACTTCGTAGGAGGCACCTCCCTTCCATCTGTTTCAATTGAACACATTTTATCTTTAGAAGAAGCGCCTCTATAGACCTGACCGTGAGTGTGATTGTGTACAGCATCGGTGGTTCAGTGGTAGAATTCTCGCCTGCCACGCGGGAGGCCCGGGTTCGATTCCCGGCCGATGCATTCGTTTATAAAGAACCCAATGGAAAAGTTACTCTGACTTTTTTTTTAGTTATCATAGGTTCTCTACACATATGCTGCTATGTATGATAATCTATGTAACTGTATTTGTGTATACCTGAATAAACTTATTAAAAGGAATGGTCCAGTGTCCACTTTCCTTACTCGGCATCTCAGGTCTCTCTGCTGTATAGTTTGTTACAGTTGTAATTCCTATGGCTGCTTTCCGCCCGTGGCTTCCTTTCTCCTCTGTGCATGATCAAGGTGTACTTGGATCATACCTGCTACGTTTGGGGCCCTCTCCTTCATGCAGATGACCCACACCAAGGCACATTATGCAGAGCCATTCACCAGCTGGCCAGCTACCACCTGGAGGTGTGTTAATTATTAGTACGGATTGTTTTTAAGTCCCCATAACATTTATTTGCCCTCAAGGCCTCTGTTAAACCATTTTTTGATGTTATGGACGAAAAATTTAAATAAAAACTTGGGAAATGAAGATAAGGTTAGGTTAGATAAGGTTCGTCAGGAAACAGGACAAATGTTTCCTGACGCGGGTCTTAGTCAGATGATGACCCGCCTTTGGAGCTTTTGGTCATCTGACCGAGGCCTTCCGCTGGCTTACCGGTCCACCCCCTTTAAAAATTATGGTCATTTATAACCTGAAAATGAAGATAAGAAAATTGTATAATTAGCATTGTTACCCATGATTTACTAAACTTCGTTTTCTTTTAGAACTGTTTACCCTTGTTTCATGGTAGCCTAAAGCAAATAATTTTGCTTACCTTAAAGAAACCTATAGTATAACAAAAAAAGGGCAGGTTATTTGTGTATAAACCTATAATATATTTATTTGTACAAGTTCATGTACAAGGTATACAGGCCTAGCTGACATCAATGACATATTACTATATAGAAAGCCCCTTGTTATGCAGAACATTTCAGGCAAATTAGGTCAATTTTGTTCCAGGAGTCGACTCGCACCAGTCGACTAACACCCAGATACTCATTTTACTGATGGATGAACAGGAACAGGGATAAGGAAACACGCCCAGTGGTTCCACCCTTCCCGGGAATCGAACCACGAATCTTCAGCGTGCGAGGATCCGTGGTTCGGATGTCGTGCCGTATAGGTAAAACTGGTCAACTAGCAAGAACTCGTTTAAAATTAAATCCTTTCTAAAACTTTCTCTTGTATATTTTCGTTAGGTTAAGAATGATTTTTGCGAAATTATTGCATATACAAATTTTCGCTTGCCTTTTACAGCAAGAGGGTTGCTATATAGGCCAAAATTGCAGGTTTTACCTATATGGCACGACACGCATATACAGGTGACGTGGAGCGTTGATGATCACCGTACTTGCCTATATGTAGTTGCAGGGGTCGATTCACAGCTTGTGTGTGTGTGTGTGTGTGTGTGTGTGTGTGTGTGTGTGTACTCACCTATTTGTACTCGTCTATTTGTGGTTGCAGGGTTCGATTCACAGCTCCTGGCCCCGCCTCTTCGCTGATTGCTACTAGGTCCTCTCTCTCCCTGCCCCATGAGCTCTATCATACCTCGCCTTAAAACTAAGTATGGTTCCCGCCTCCACTACGTCACTTTCTAGGCTATTCCACGGCCTGATTACTCTATGACTGAAGAAATACTTCCTAACATCCCTTCGATTCATTTGAGTCTTCAACTTCCAATTGTGACCTCTTGTGTCTGTTCCCCTTCTCTGGAACATCCCGTCTTTGTCCACCTTGTCTATTCCGCGCAGTATTTTATATGTCGTTATCATGTCTCCCCTGACCCTCCTGCCCTCCAGTGTCGTCAGGCCGATTTCCCTCAACCTTTCTTCGTAGGACAATCCCCGTAGCTCTGGGACTAGTCTTGTTGCAAACCTTTGCACTTTCTCTAATTTCTTGACGTGCTTGACTAGGTGTGGATTCCAAACTGGTGTTGCATACTCCAGTATGGGCCTGACGTAAAGGGTATACAGAGTCTTAAACGAATCCTTACTGAGGTATCGGAACGCTATCCGAAGGTTTGCAAGGCGCCCGTATGCTGCAGCAGTTATCTGATTGATGTGCGCCTCAGGAGATATGCTCGGTGTTATACTCACCCCCAGATCTTTTTCCTTGAGTGAGGTTTGCAGTCTTTGGCCATCTAAACTATATTGTGTCTGCGGTCTTCTTTGCCCTTCCCCAATCTTCATGACTTTGCATTTGGCAGGGTTAAATTCAAGGAGCCAGTTGCTGGACCAGGCTTGTAGCCTGTCCAGGTCTCTTTGTAGTTCTGCCTGATCCTCATCCGATTTGATTCTTCTCGTTAACTTCGCATCATCTGCAAACAAGGACACTTCTGAGTCTATCCCTTCCATTATGTCGTTCACATATACCAAGAACAGCACAGGTCCTAGGACTGACCCCTGTGGAACCCCACTTGTCACAGGCGCCCACTCTGACACCTCGTCGCGTACCATGACTCGTTGTTGCCTCCCTGTCAGGTATTCTCTGATCCATTGCAGTGACTTTCCTGTTATGTGTGCCTGATCCTCTAGCTTTTTCAGTAACCTCTTGTGAGGAACTGTGTCGAAGGCCTTCTTGCAGTCCAAAAATATGCAGTCGATCCACCCCTCTCTCTCTTGTCTTACTTCTGTCACCTTGTCATAAAACTCTTAGTAGGTTTGTGACACAGGATTTTCCTTCCCTGAAACCGTGCTGGTTGTCAATTATACAC